CATATAGTTGATATACCATATCTACTATTCAATTAATCATTCAATTATTATTTCATTTCTGATATTCTTACAAACACACCAAGCCCACGCGACTAGAAGTTCAGTACCAAATCTCTTGTGCGATTATCCACTTACCTTCGGTTTTACCTACACGTACGCATTCTGCGATATTACAGGCGTATGTGCTGAGCCAGTACACGCAGATGAATGCTCTGTTGTGTCAACTGCATAGGGAGAGAGCCGCTCGGTCGCCGAGGTAGTAGTGCCCGCGGAGGTGGAGCTATATCGGGCTATACATAGATATATATATATATATATTTAGAAGTTCTTTTTATAGTCAGATAATGAGTATGTGCTGAGCCAGTGCACGCAAATGAACTTCCTATCGTGTCATCTGCAGAAGGAGAGAACCGCTCGGTTGACGGATGGAGTTGTAATGGACTATATGTAGGCGTCTATATATAGTATTCTATCTATAGATGAGAGGAGTATGTACCGAGCCAGGCACACAGATGAACACCCTACAGTGTCAACTGTTTTAGCGAAGCAGCGCACCGTCGCCGAGACAGTGCATGTTCGAATAGCTGTAGTCGGCTAAAGATATCTATTTATAGATGGTCTATTTATAGACGAGCGAAGAATGTGTGCAGAATCACTACACGTGGACACAGTACTCTTCTTCTGATTCCATCAAGAGCGATTGGTGTGCTGAGCGAAGTAGTGCAAGACGATGCGGTGGGGGTTCTCAATGGATATCTATTTATAGATTCTCCAGAGATATGAGAGAAAGGTAGGCCGCCAGGCATCTATTTATAGATATGAAGGAGGACGGGACGGATGCTGATGCTAGTAAGATACTTATATTCAGCCGAAGGTTATGGACTGTGTAGGTCTATCTATCGCTGGCCTGTGCAGGCAAGTGCGGGTTGATCATCTCATCAAAGGGACGTCCGCAACAGAGACCCAGTACGATTTCTGGGCCGCAATTGCCCTTCCCGGTGGCCTGCTTAAAATGGACATGACCTGTCCTATTTTAGAGCCAAGTGGGCCGCGGATGTCCTGTTTCGTTTGGGCTGTACTGAGAACACATGATTATGGCCAGACGATCCCCATCCAAAGCATACTTACTGGTAACAAGTTGTGCCCCCAATCGGAACGGAGTGGACTTCAGCTGCCCTAAATTTGAATCCAGGTGTTGGAGTGGATTGGGCCTTTTATGCCCTCAATTTCAGCCCAAGTTGGATACCAATGTGTGGGCAAGTGCAATTGTTGGCCTGTCACTGACAGTCAATGATCTGTACGCTCAAGCAGCGATGTATGTGCATACGCACCAGTAAGCACTCACGCCTACACGGTAGGAAATGTGTATATACACACTTATCCACACACATACTTATATACACACACATACTTATATATAGACACACATACTTTTACACTCACACGCACTCACACACAGTCGATGTGCACACAGCCACAAGGCCATGTATCTCAACACAACAAGACTTCCGTCAATTGCCATACACATACACAGCACATACACAATCAGAGCATTCAATGACATACACACACAACATCAAAATCCATACACATACACATGCACATAAGTGTGCAATTGTGCGATGAGTTAGTCACGGGGTGCGGCTGAAGGGACAAGCAGAGGTGTACGCTATAAAAACTGGACACAACACACAACAAGTGGGATCTATGCACAACAACGCACGTGGAGATGACTGAGAGGTGTAGGTAGGTGCTTAGGGGCACTTGTCCGTGTACTGTGAGAGGCCGTTGATCTACAGAGCGTACTGGAATGAGAGTTTATTGAAAACCGGGACGGAAAAGCCTGGTGACAAGTGGGGGACTGCTTCCATAGACAGACTCTTTTCGATGTCAGTACTATGGAAGGCTCCACAGAACGCACTGTGGTAGAGGGTTTATAGAGCGTACCGCTATGTGATCTCAGCAAAAGCGGGACGGAAACTCTGGTGACACCGCTGGCAATAACTTGCCTGCCAGCACACTTGTGGCGCCATATCACAGAGCTATTGTTATCTTTGCAGATCGTACCGTAATTGTTCTCAGAAAAAGTGGGACGAGTCGGCCTGAGTATTGCGTATGGGATTGCCTATCACAGAGCTATTGTTATCTCTGCGGATCGTACCGTAATTATTCTCAGTAAAAGCGGGGCGAGTCGACCGGATTATTGCTTATGGGATTACTGTTATAAGCCATATCACAGCTATTGTTATCTCTGAAGATCGTACCGTAATTACTTCTCGGTAAAAGCGGGACGAGTCGGCCTGATTATTGCTTATGGGATTACTGTTATAAGCCATATCACAGAGCTATTGTTATCTCTGCAGATCGTACCGTAATTATTTTCAGTAAAAGCGGGACGAGTCGGCCTGATTATTGCTTTTGGGATTACTGTTATAAGCCATGTCACAGAACTATGGTCATCGTACCGTAATAAATCTCAGAAAAAGCGGGATGTGTAGGCCTGAATATTGGCTATGAGATTACTGTTATGCACCATATCACAGAACTATGGTTTTCGTACCGTTATAAATCTCAGTAAAAGCGGGATGTGTAGGTCTAACTATTGCCTATGGGATTACTATTGCGCGCCATATCACAGAACTATGTTCATCTCTACGTAACGTAACGTAATAAATCTCAGTAAAAGAGAGATGCGTAGGCCTGAATACTGCCTATGAGATTACTGTTATGCTCCATATCACAGAACTATGGTCATCTCTACGTACCGTAACGTAATAAATCTCAGTAAAAGCGGGATGCGTAGGCCTGAATATTGCCTATGAGATTACTGTTATGTTCCATATCACAGAACTATGGTCATCTCTACGTAACGTACCGTAATGAATCTTAGTAAAAGCGGGATGTGTAGACCTGAATATTTTGCCTATGAGATTACTGTTATGCTCCATACCACAGAACTATGGCCATCCCTACAGCACGTCCCGTAATGAATCTCAGTAAAAGCGGGACGTGCAGGCTTGGTTAGTCCCTATGGGCTTTCTACTATACGGAGGGGTTGTGGCGTGGTGACTAAACAAGGGAGGGATTAGGAAGCTTGCTACAAGTCCATCCGTTGGTAGTGTGTAGTCCTGTTTGTGGAATAGAGCAGACACAGAAAAAACTGTACAAGACATGCATAGCACCCACTATGTGTGGCTACGTACAGAGCTATGGCACGGGATGAGATGAACTAGTACTTCATTCAATACGACTTTAATTAATCCACTTCATGGTCTCCAGGGCTCTACCCAGCGCCTACTACAGCGATTGTCGTCCGTGTGGACAGACACTACGGCACGTGTAAAGGTACTGTCTGCTGCAGGGCGTTCCTGACAGACACTCTAGCGAAGACAGTGAATCTATTAATAGGCTGTCCAATGAATCTATTAATAGACTGTCCAACTATTCTATTAATAGACTGTCCAACTATTCTATTAATAGACTGTGGCTATTAATAGATTGCTCACTGCGAGTGTCATCAATTCATTCGTACGGTATGATTAACTTCTTATTGTGCGTTCGCCTCCTCCAACAACTGAAAAGAGGCAAAAGTAATCAGTCTATTAATAGGAGTGACAAAAGACAGTCGAAGTCTATGAATAGAACAGAAAAGAGGGTGTCGCAATCTATCAATAGAACAAACAAGAGGGAGTCACACTCTATTAGTAGAACAAAAAAGAGAGTCACAGTCTATTGATAGAACAGAAAAGTGCGAGTCGCAGGCTACTAATAGAACATACAAGAGGGAGTCAAAGTCTATTAATAGAACAGAAGAGAGCGAGTCGCAGGCTATTAATAGAGCATACAAGAGGGAGTGAAATTCTATTAATAGAACAGAAGAGAGAGAGTCACACGCTATCAATAGAACGTACAAGAGGAAGTCAAAGTCTATTAATAGAACATATAAGAGAGAGTCAAAGTCTATTAATAGAACAGAAGAGAACGAGTCGCAGTCTAGTATTAGAACCCGAGAAAAAAGAGTCGCAGTCTGTAGATAAACGGATACAAACCCGATTCAAAGTGAAATGACAGCACGTGCAGCTTAGCGGTGTGATAAGCGTTGTTATAAATCACTCTCATAAGTGGACTAGTGCACTTGACGATGTGTATATCGACTGATGGCGTACAGAACAGCCGTTGAGGTGTATATTCACGGTGCAGTGATGAGTAGTCCTGTGCCTGATACAGAAATTATATGCTCAAATCACAACCTTTGGTCCCATAGAAATAGGTGTCATGTTTGGTTTCATTTTCAGCCATATATATATATATATACATACATACATACATACACACACACACACACAAACAAACACACATACAAATACATATATATATGTATATATATATATATATATATATATAATATATATATATATATACACACATATATATATACATATACATATATATATATAAAACATATACGCAAATAGATACATAATACTCATACCTTCCATTTCTTCTTCAGTGCTCCTCTGATGGGCTGACTCTTAGACTCAGTCCCTATAACACCCAACAGAGAGCATATGACAATGGTTGGTTGCTCAGTTAATGATTCCTATTGCTGGGTGACTATGTGTTTCAGATGAGCTTGTTCATGCACAAGCGTACAGTTTAACTAGCGATCGTACAGAAGTGTGATTTAGTAGGTAGAACATTTGCTTCTGTGTTGCCTGTAACGTTCTATCATCTGGTGCTCTACACCAACCGTTAATAACAAGCATGTACAAATATCCGTACAGATACCAGATAGATAAATAAGCGTCTATAATAAGACCCCATTGAGGAGATAAATACTATTGTTGCGCACTAAATTATATATATATACAGAATGCTTATGAATCTAAGACTAGCAGACGTACTTATTTGAAAATAGACATTTATCAACAAGCACAGAATTGTCCGTCAATTTATGATGTTAGATGTAAAAAATCATGTGGATATAAATAAACTCACCTTTATCGACATGACAACATGCACCTTCGTATAGCCATACACACAATATAAATATATACATATATACACAAGCACACGCACACACACGCACACATATATATATATATACATACATACATAGCATTTGTATATCTATAGTTTGCGCATGCAGATACAAATGCTCTGTGCATGCTACATATTGGGTCACTTGAGTCCTCATACACTTCACATTGATGTCAAAAAGCTTCACCAACCCACCCAGCCCCCCCCCAGCAAAAAAAAAGAAAAAGGGCTTGCGTTGTCTTGATCACTTACCTTCCTTCACAAGGGCCGCGAAAATTTTACCGCCTTTCATATCCTGAGAGTCACACAAACAACACCAACGACCAACAGAGAGAGATCTTAGTACATCAGAGGATATGACAGCAGCCATGCACGCATAAGAAGAAAGACTCGTGTATAGAACTCAAACCAAGGAGAGAGGCGCTGAATTGCATCCACGTCTTTGTATAAGCGAATGTGGCGCCCGGTACTACTTACAACCAATCGGTGTGCTAAAGATATGTAAATAAACGTATCACACGCGGCGTGACGGATACAGACACTTGGTACCAGTACCACATACGGTGGTTGGTTGGGCCCACAGCTGTCTTAACGTATTGTTTAACGTATTGCTTGGTATCAAGTTGGGATACTGTATCGCTGATATGATAGGCATCGTTTTGTGTGGTACTAAATTAACCCGCGAGCTATAAACCTACGGTTTCGATTGAGTGATATCGATGCTAAGTAGTGCAAATGCTACTCACGTCTGTTGGTTATACATACATACATACATACATATATATATACATATACATATATATGTCTATGGATATATATATATATATATATATAAGGCTCACAGATTTGCAAACGTAACACTGATGATATTTACGTCTTTAAAAACGGTCGCTTTCACGGGGTATTCACCATATTCACAAGCGCACTAAATTACGGGTTTGAAGACGTACTACTACAAATACTTACGCCTTTTGGCTTTACGCCTTTGATTATGTAGTACTGGCTGCCCTGGAACATCTCGAACATGCGACGGCTGCATACTAAGTCACCTACGCCAAGATTTTTTTTGTTGCCGATTAGATCCCATAAGCTGAAAATGTATAAAAAAACATACAGGTGAGTTAGCGTTCTAGTTTACTTATATGTGTTCACGTATACGCCCAGTCATACATAGACATATACGTGAAAACTAAGCCCAAAATGTGATGCATATGCGCATATCTGCGTCTGTGTGAATCAGTTAACGTATCGTCACCACCGGCGCTAATTTCCGTTTCCCATCCATGAACCCAGACGCTACATACAACAGTGGTGCCATACATATATATGGGTATTGGGAAGTGCACGAGTGTACTGCAATACGTACGAGTGGGCATTGGGCATACTAACGGCTATATAAAACGGCCCTCTATAGTATATGTATATATGTGTTAGCTATTGTGTATGATGAATGTATGGTATGACAAATGGATATTTGCATGAGAAAGTGCTATCACTTGCGATGTATATATACTTGGAGATACGAAATATGTAAGCGGAGTCGCATGGTATTTACGTTTGCGTAAACGAGTGGATGTGGACAGATCAGAACAATGCATAAGCCGCATGACTACTTAAGCCAACAAACTTTTTCCGATAGAAACCCTAACACCCCCCCCATAAAAAAAGAGGACAGGTATGAGAACCAGTCCAGATAGCACTGGCCTATCAAGCTAGAACGGAGATTAAACAGATTTTGGACAAACATCAAACCCCAACAAGCGGTTTTAGCGTATAGGCTTTAGGGTTTATCAAACGCTAAACCCTAAAAGGGTCCACTCCTAAGCATTGGGGCACGTTGGGCGTATCTAGATGATCCTTTCCCCAGTTACAAACATAAACGGAGTCTTGATATGAACAGGTTGCTGCCCTGTTGCGATCATAACCAGACTTAGTACGATACGATACCACAAATATGTACCCATGCCAATAGACTGGTAAACCGTTACAAACATATATGTACTTTCGTCATGGGGTTTAGAGTTTTAAGGGGGTTAAAACCCGGTTTTTAGGAATTTGCCCGGTTTTTAAGGGTATAGAGCCCCCAAACACAACCAGACTTCGGTCCAACTAAAAATACGCAACAAAAACTCATCCAATTACAAATATGGACAGAATTGCATTCAACTAGATACACAAACAGACTTTCATATCCCAACACACGAGGCACGGCCCCTGTCCAATTTCTAGAAGAAAAAAAAAAGGTCTCTTTCTCATGTACGCGCCTATACGGACACCTATCTGAGTACAAACAAAACCCAAGGACAAAAAGGGAACCCCCCCACACAAACACACTTCTTGCCCGTCAGGCAGTGTCTGGCTTTCTTCGGGAAATGGAACACCACATTATCTGCAATGTACTGCTGCCCGGTGGGCGTCTCCGTCAGACATCTCAGCACATCTCTCTGCTGTGTGGTTAGGTTTAAGAACCCCCGCCTGTCCGCTTCACCGGCCTTTGCGGTCTGTAACGAGTTTAAGTAGGCTTCCTTGGGAGGTACATAGCCCTCGGGATAGAGGGACAACTTCTGCGCGGCACTGGATAAGGGCGTGTGGGAGGCTTGGCTGGTGGCAGAGCATAGGGCCCTTCGGATAGTCAAACTCGCACGGAACATGGTCAAGTGATGGGGGTAGACCGACTGTACAGTGGTAGTGAAGGAGAGACTTATGCATGGGTTCATGGATGTTGTCTGGCGGGAAGGAAAAGCTGAAAAGCAGTGGTCTAACGACACACCACCTGAGTAGGCACATATTTATATATATACGTATAAATAATTAAATAAATAAATATATATATATATATATAGACATATAAAAGTATACATATATATATACATATATACTTACATACAAATATATCTATATACGCATGCGTATATTCATATTTATATACATACCCTCATACATACATACGTATACTCATACATACAAGAACACACACACACATATATATATACATACATATACATACACACACACACACACACACATATATATATATATATATACATTCTCACACACAGACGCACAGAAACACATACACACATACACCTAGATAAACAGACACACACTTTATAATATATATATATATATATATATACATATAGAAGTATTCGTATACACATATATACATATATAAGTATCCATATGCATATATATATATATACATACATATATATATATACATATATATATATATATATATATATACANACACACACACACACACAC